TAATTTGCAGACACACAAAACGTATTACTAAATTTGGAGCATGGTTTTATGGTGTTGGCACCAAGTTTAATGGGGTACAAGTAAGTTAGTTTGAGACTATAGCTTTTATATATATATATATATATATATTTTATTTATGAGGTATATCTCTAATTAAATCGAACTGAGTGATGTTATGGAACAACTTTACAATATCAATCATCCGTTCTCCTACACAATCCAGCCCCGGGTCTTTATAGGGCATACAAAGTGTATTACTAAATTTGGAGCATGGTTTAACGGTGTTGGCACCAAGATTAGTGGCGATGGTTCGTCCGAGACTCATACAACCTTTATACTGTTTTATTAATGAGATATATCTCGAATCAAATCAAACTGAGTGATGTTATGAAACAACTTAACAATAGCAATTATCCTGAGGACGAAAAGAATCAAGCTATGATACGTAAAATCACAGCTGAAAAAATAGCCATGTTTAATGACGAACTACTCAAAGTAACATGGAATGACGTGGTCGCGTGTACTGACACCAATAAGGCATATGCACTTTTTTGGAACTTGTTCTCCTCTCTTTTAAATAAACATATCCCAATGACTAAAAAAAGATCGGCAAGAAATAGAATCAAGCAGCCATGGATAACTAAAGGTATCTTTTGCTCTATTAAAAAACGGAATAGATTATATAAATATAGTCTTCGACACCCAGGAGAGGAAAGCTTGAATAATTACAAATCATATAGGAACAAACTAACCACCATTATTAGACAGTCTCGACAAATGTATTTCGCCAAGCAGTTTGAAAATGCAAATGGAAATGCATCATCAACGTGGAATGTGATCAATCAAGCCCTCAAAAAACAAAAGAGTAAATCAAAGTGTCATATTACCAAAGATAATAATACAATGGTTGATTCAAAAGAAATAGCAAATTGCTTCAATGCTTACTTTGTTGGGGTTGGCCCCAATCAGGCCAATACAATAGCTTCGAACGGAGTCGACTTCTCACAATTTCTTCAAACTCCCTGCAACAAGTCATTATTTCTCAAACCAACAAACTTGATTGAAATCTTGAATATTGCACGTTCTCTTAAAATAAGCTATGCTAACGGTCATGATGGGATAAGCACATATCTTTTGAAACAAGTTATAGGAAATATAATAACACCACTAGTGCATATTTTTAATCTCTCTATGACGACAGGTACATTTCCAGAAGCATTTAAGATTGCTAAGGTTGTTCCGATATACAAAAAGGATGACTCTTCCCAAGTCTCAAACTATCGCCCTGTTTCTATTCTCTCGAGTTTGTCCAAAGTATTGGAAAGACTTATATACAATAGGCTATATTGTTTTCTAACAGAAAATGACTTACTGAATCAGGATCAATATGGTTTCAGGAAATACCACTCAACCGATTTAGCCCTTGCACAATTATATGATAAGGTTTCGAACGCTTTGGCGTCTCGAAAGCATGTTATTGGTGTATTCATGGACTTAAGCAAAGCATTTGACACTCTTGATCACAAGGTACTATCAAGCAAACTTCATTTTTACGGAGTAAGAGGAGTTGCTCTTGACTGGTTTAATGATTATTTGTCAGGTAGAAAGCAATATGTAAGCTACGAATCTGTAGATTCATCATTATTGCCTATGAAATGTGGTGTCCCACAAGGATCGATACTCGGTCCTTTATTGTTTCTACTGTATGTTAATGATATCTCGAACTCAACTACATCATTACAATATATTATATTTGCTGATGATACTAATGTGTTTTGCTCCAATTCCGATTTTCGATCACTTCAGAGAATTCTGAACACCGAGCTACCTAAGCTGTCTTTGTGGTTTAGGAGCAACAAATTGTCTCTGAATCTGAAAAAAACTAATTATATTCATTTTCAAAGCAGGAAAAATGCAACTGATAAACCTATACCTGAAATAGTCTTGGATGGTGAATATTTGGAGAAAAAACAAAATACTAAATTTCTTGGAACTATCATCAATGAAAATCTGAAATGGAGTGAGTACATTACGTTTCAAAGAGAGTGTCACGCACTGTTGGTTTACTGTATAAGTTAAAACATTATGTGCCTTTGAATATTCTATATATGCTATACAATTCCTTGATTCTTCCTTACATGTCTTATTGCAATATACTGTGGGCAGACTCAAAAGTATATACTGATAAAATGCTACTTTTACAAAAGAAAGCGATTCGTGTGTGTACCAATGCTGGATATCGCGATCACACTGATCCCCTATTCGCGAGGTTAAAAACTCTGAAAGTAACTGATATTAACTTTTTACAAAAAGCACTGTTCATGTTCCGTCTACATAATGATTCCCTACCTTCCCACTTCCCACCAATGTTTTGTTTGAATAGAAATATTCATACATACCCAACCAGACAATCAAATAAATACCATTTATGTAATCCTAAAACAACAATGGCTATGAAATCTATAAGACATTCTGGTCCGGATATTTGGAACTCACTGTCCGTTGACATCCGTAACTTGAAGTCAGTATATACTTTCAAGAAAAGTGTGAAATCAATTTTATTGAGCAAATATTGACAAATCTCTTAAATTAACACATGATATCATATATGTTTGTCAGCATTTCCTTGATATAGCAGGAAAATCCCCCTCCCATGCACCCTCTATCCCATTTTTTTTTTTTTTTGGTTGCAAGTCACTGTTTATTTTTTGTTATTTTCCCCCAATTATGTTCTGTAATTTACTTTACTTTACAATCGTTATGATTTTAAATGTTTCTGGGCTGCAAGCGTATCAAGCTGTCACGCTTAGGCTGTAGCCCTTCTGTATCATCACCTCTTCGAGCGTATGTATCTATGATTTACTGAATGTGGAAATGTAATTTAACTTATGTTTTATACTCATGTAAAGACATTGTCACATTATTGTTATAACCTATGATGATTCAGTAACCAATAAAATATTTCAACTATTTCAACTATATCAATCTTCTGTTCTCCTAAATAATCCAACCCCGGGTCATTATAGGGCACACAAAATGTATTACTAAATTTGGAGCATAGATTAACGGTGTTGGCACCAAGATTAGTGGCGATCGTTCGTGTGAGACTCATAGAGCCTTTATACTGTTTTATTAATGAAATATATCTCGAATCAAATCAAACTGAGAGATGTTATGAAACAACTTTACAATATCAATCATCCGTTCTCCTACACAATCCAGCCCCGGGTCTTTATAGGGCATACAAAGTGTATTACTAAATTTGGAGCATGGTTTAACGGTGTTGGCACCAAGATTAGTGGCGATGGTTCGTCCGAGACTCATACAGCCTTTATACTGTTTTATTAATGAGATATATCTCGAATCAAATCAAACTGAGTGATGTTATGAAACAACTTAACAATATCAATCTTCTGTTCTCCTAAATAATCCAACCCCGGGTCATTATAGGGCACACAAAATGTATTACTAAATTTGGAGCATAGATTAACGGTGTTGGCACCAAGATTAGTGGCGATGGTTCGTCCGAGACTCATACAGCCTTTATACTGTTTTATTAATGAGATATATCTCGAATCAAATCAAACTGAGTGATGTTATGAAACAACTTAACAATATCAATCTTCTGTTCTCCTAAATAATCCAACCCCGGGTCATTATAGGGCACACAAAATGTATTACTAAATTTGGAGCATAGATTAACGGTGTTGGCACCAAGATTAGTGGCGATCGTTCGTGTGAGACTCATAGAGCCTTTATACTGTTTTATTAATGAAATATATCTCGAATCAAATCAAACTGAGAGATGTTATGAAACAACTTTACAATATCAATCATCCGTTCTCCTACACAATCCAGCCCCGGGTCTTTATAGGGCATACAAAATGTATTACTAAATTTGGAGCATGGTTTAACGGTGTTGGCACCAAGATTAGTGGCGATGGTTAGTCCGAGACTCATACAGCCTTTATACTGTTTTATTAATGAGATATATCTCGAATCAAATCAAACTGAGTGATGTTATGAAACAACTTAACAATATCAATCTTCTGTTCTCCTAAATAATCCAACCCCGGGTCATTATAGGGCACACAAAATGTATTACTAAATTTGGAGCATAGATTAACGGTGTTGGCACCAAGATTAGTGGCGATGGTTCGTCGGAGACTCATACAGCCTTTATACTGTTTTATTAATGAGATATATCTCGAATCAAATCAAACTGAGTGATGTTATGAAACAACTTAACAATATCAATCTTCTGTTCTCCTAAATAATCCAACCCCGGGTCATTATAGGGCACACAAAATGTATTACTAAATTTGGAGCATAGATTAACGGTGTTGGCACCAAGATTAGTGGCGATCGTTCGTGTGAGACTCATAGAGCCTTTATACTGTTTTATTAATGAAATATATCTCGAATCAAATCAAACTGAGAGATGTTATGAAACAACTTAACAATATCAATCTTCTGTTCTCCTAAATAATCCAACCCCGGGTCATTATAGGGCACACAAAATGTATTACTAAATTTGGAGCATAGATTAACGGTGTTGGCACCAAGATTAGTGGCGATGGTTCGTCGGAGACTCATACAGCCTTTATACTGTTTTATTAATGAGATATATCTCGAATCAAATCAAACTGAGTGATTTTCTTGAACAACTAAACAGTAGGCCTACTAAATGTCCATTTTCCTATAAACTGTCATTACAAAACTAGCTAGATTAGGGATTGTATAGCCGCTCCGAGGAACGTTTGCTATTTCAATTCCCTGCTTGTACTTGGCTTCACGGAGTAATTCGTCCTTTATAATGATTCTCTTCATTCCGGAGCAATGTATGTAGTAATGCTTGCGAACGTACTCTTGTACTAGTACAGTACATGTACCTGTGTATAAGACAGATCCATAGACAGAGTACGCACGCCGCACGTCTGTGACGTAGGGAATAATGAATATTCATATCGCCGTTAATCTTGGTGCCAATATATGCTACCAGGTCGAGAAGGGAAAAAAGATCGTCACATATCGCTCAGAAATATGATGTTATCTCTTTTTGCAACGCAATAGATAATGAATTCCATGTAAGTATATGCACATTAAGTACATGAATGTTCGGTACCTGTTGATGAATGATGAATCTTACATGAAAGTAGGTTTGCGTTAAGACAAAGCACAAAAGTGTCGCAAAAAAAGTGGGCTGTAGACTGTATGTGGCCTAATACTGTGCCCACACCTTAGGAATGGTGTTGCTGCATAAGTTCTTGAGTGAGTGAGTGAGTTTTGTACAATTGTGTATGACGTCTACGTCTACGTCTATGCTGGTACTCGTCCAAAGCCTTTTCAGCAACTAAACGAGGATATTGTGGTGTGGTGTCTCTCATAGTGGTCATGATTGATTAGTGCATAGTGCGTATATACAAGTTGTGCGAGTAAAAACAGATCCTCCTATGATTTAGGCGCTGATGGCTCCCTTGAACTTCTCCACAGAGGGCAGTTCAATGAAGTTGGTAGGGAGCTCATCCCAGTCCCGGAGTGTTCTTGGGAAGAAACTTTGCCTGTAGCTGTCAGAGTTGGAGCTGGGTCTCATGAATCTGTGTCGGTGTTGCTGACGTGTTGAACGGAGTCTTGGTTGGATGTAGTCTGGAATTGGTACTGCGACTAGGTGGTTGATGGCTTTGTAAAGCATGGTTAATCGGGCTTGCCTGCGTCTCTCCTCTAAGGGGAGAGACGCAGGCAAGCAACCCCACATCACACATAGCTGCATTACTATCCTGCCTGTGTATTAAAACCTGTTCTATTGATTCTCAACATTTCAAACACCACTGTACAAACTTAACTGATTTCACTCAAAATCTGTACTTCAGTGACAATTGATGACACCTAAAATAGCAGTAAAATTCAATTTTTTCAACTCACCGATGTTAAAAAAGAATTATTTAAAAACTAAAATCGTGAGTCTACTGTCAAACTTGCTTACAGCCACATTGGTATCATTGTGTGCATTTGTGTGTTATTTGTGTATTGACTATTCATGTGTGTAATTGCTGCCTATAAACGTAGTGCAGCGCTAGAGGTAAGATGCATGTAATAGCATTGACGTTTTGTATTTTTTGTATTTATCCTATTAAAAATAAACATTTATAAGAACGGTAATCAACGAGCCTGGGCTGCTTTCTCTATGTATTATAACTTAAACATCAGTAAATCCAATATGACACATCCACCATTCCCAAGCTGTTTAAAGGACTAGTGCGCCCCCTCCTTGAGTATGGAAATGTAATCTGGTCGCCAAGGTACATTTCAGACGCAAAAGCTGTGGAGAGAGTACAGAAGAGAGCAACAAAGATGATCTCCACAATGAAACACCTACCTTACATAGAGAGACTTAAATACCTAAACTTGCCATCCCTTGAGTACAGGAGAAGGAGAGGAGACATGATTCAGGTGTACAAGATCATTTATGAGCATGACAGACTCAACCCTGACCACTTCTTCCAACTAGCAGACACACCAACAAGAGGGCATAGTCTCAAGCTTTCAAAGCCGAGGTGTAGGACAAATGTAAGGAAGAACGCATTTAGTCACAGAGTGATTGACGACTGGAACTCTCTGCCTGAAGTAGTAGTTCAGGCTCCCACCATAGACGCCTTCAAAACCAGGCTTGATCATTGCTGGAAGGAACAGTGTCATATCTCTCAATACTCGAACTGATTTTTTCAATTTCTTTGCTCCTGGGACATTGTACATGGTACATTGTCCAGTCAAGATGCAACCTCTTGCCCCTCTGCCTCCCTTGCATATAATGAGAATTATTATTAAAGAGTATGAGTAAAAGAAGATAGACCAAGAAGATAGACCTGGAAGCTCGACTGCTGTCTCAGCATTCTTCCAGTATTTGCGGTAAAGGTAAAGGTAAAGGTATAAATCCAATAAATCGTAACATTATACAACAACTGTATGGGCAAATCTTTAAAAAATGTCATTTATTGTCAAATTGAAAACATGATTCTTGTAAAATTGCAAATAAAACACGATTAAAGACGGAAATATGAATGTAAGTACTACTTTTCTTCAAAAATAGTTACGTTTTAAACAATTTTTATGTGAAATTTGTGCCAGTTGGAAGCAGTGATTTCCATCAGGAGTGGTGGGCAGAAGTCCGCCGTAGCTATAATGCTGCTTGCTATTATATTACCAAACCCCGAACCGAACCAAGTTTGTGTACAAAATTACCGAACTCTGCCGCACCGAATTGAATCGAACCCGTGCATGGCGCCTGACTTTCAGCACTAATTGTTTCTTTCATATTCTCTTGCAGGATTCAATGAATCACTAGTGTGTTTGCCGTGAACTGAGAACAGTCCCTATCGACATGTTTTTCATCATCCTCCTCTCTATCTTGTTTGGTGGGGTGTTGATGCTGGCCATACAGGCGTCATGGCTCTACTGGTACATTAAACGCCAGCCCAAAGAAGAGGTACCCCGAAAGCACCTCTATGATCGAGTCCAACAAGTTGGGGTAGGTTTATTTCCTTAATTAATTTTGTCTAGTAATTTCACTGGAAGACATAACAAACCAAATGTTATGTTTGTGATGTTCATAATCACCCCAGGAACAATTTACAAATACGCAGTAATCATACATATTTCTAGGCAATGAAACGAGCTCTAAATGGCAACATCTGCAAACTTCATTGCATTTTGGCTTAAAGGAGTCTGGAATTTCATGTTAAAAATTATGTCCAGATATAGCGAGAGTTCCTTTAGATAGCAAGGAGATAATATTTGTACTTCTCATTTTGCAAAAGACAAAACTTAATATAGTTGGTAATCTGTACAGTATACTTGGGTATATCTGAAAACAAATGCAATTGAGATACAAACTTGGCAGGGTAATTTTAGATATTGTATTGTATACTTCTAAAACTGATGTTAAATATCAGTTTAAATGATTTGTTTTGTTCTTCAATGATAACTGTGAATAAAAATAATTATTTTCATTATAAATGCATTTGTTATATCATCATGGTATTTGAATTTTTTTATTGCAATCACACTCTTGTGTACAAAGCATATTCAATAAATAACCTCTGTTTCATTCAAATCTTCAAAATCACTGAAAATTAATGATGATATCATAATTTGAATTCTTAAAATTTAGACTTGTTGATAAATGTAGTACAGACCTTATGGATAGCATGATTAGAATTTGAATATGTTTATAATCACAGACATTTATGAATAACTTTATTTTTAGGAGTTGCAGGATCCCTCCTCAATCCTTTTCAAGAAAGAGAGTTGCAATACTGCCAATGCACTGATATCCTTCCTCTTCAATGAGCTTAAGGACACCTTAGCTTTACGCAGATGGATCATTAAGAAGATGAACGTGGAGTTTGGGGAACTCTTGAATGCCAAGACTGCTGGAAAAATAATGGAACAGATCACTGTAAGTTTGAACAAGACTCTTTCCTCTCACCTTCCTCTCTTTCTCTCTTTCTTTTTGTTTAATTCCCATCCACTGTCTTCTCATCCTTGCCTCTACCCCTCTCTTTGCCTTTGTTTCCATCTCTGTGCCTTTGTTTCCATCTCTGTATTTCTCATGACTTTCTCTATCTCCTGCTCTTGTTTTTGTTTCCTTTCCTTGCTTTTCTCTTGCCTCTCCGTTCTTTATTTTTACCTGAGCACTTGGAATGCAGATAAAAGCGTATGCATGTTGATAGTATCCAAAAGTCATATGGATTTACTTTCTAGTCTTAGCTTAGTGTCTCTAAAAATTGACTACCGGTAGAGTGTTTTACCGAAGAGCTAGTGCTCTGACGTACATACAGTTTTCAATCTCCTTGTTCCTAAATTGCCTCGGGTAGCTTCAGGAATCAATGAGCCTTCATCAATCTCCCAATATGCATTGATTTATATATGCAAGATACTCCTTTTTCATTTCCAGGTGAGAGATTATTGCGTTGGGCCCACTTTTCCAACCCTGACGGGTGTGACGCTGATGAAGTTTACCACAGTAGAAGGCACTGATATGCCAGAGGTAAGATGGGGCTTTATAATAATTGTACTGAATAGACTTGAAAATGTAGTTGCAGTTAAAAGAACGTTGTCATACCTTATATATGTAGAAAGGAGATAGTATATGTGTGGGTCACAAGGGCAGAAAGCCTTTCATTGACAGGTTGTATATTACACAGGAAATATGGAATTGAAATGTACATAAGTCAATGTACATAGGTGGCTTGCATAGACATGTTGTAGATTACACAAAAATACCAGAATTGAAATGTTCAAACATCAGGTGGTGCAGATGCCAAGCTTGAACATTTGTACATTTCAGTTAATTAAATATTGCATCCTGCCTGTAAACAAGGAGGAATGTAGATTGGACATATGCAGGTATAATTATGGAGGTATAAAACAAAGAGAAACAGAGAAAGCTAAATTACACCTTCAACTAAATTCAATTAATCATTTTTCCTTGAGACCTTCCAAATTATGTTTTAAAAAATTTTGAGAGAGAATTAGATACTGGTACCCTTTCAGTTTATTCATTATTATTTGAAGAAAAAAAAACCTGTTTGTGATATTTTGTCTTTTTTTTGTACAGACTGTTGATGTAGCTGTTGATATAGACTATGGAGGTGGATTCAGAGTGTCTGTGGATGTGGACCTGGTATTCGGAACATCAGCGTATGTCTCGGTGACAGTCACAAAACTGAAAGGAAGAGCCCGGCTTGAGTTCACACGAAATCCATATAGTCACTGGTCATTCTCTTTCTATGAGGTCAGTTTAAATATAGTCAAACCTGCTTTAGTGACCACCTGTCTATGAAGACCACTTGTTGGGTTTCCCTTGAAGGTGGTTGCTCATTGAAACCCATACTAAAGGAACCTGTACATAAATATCACTGACCTTTAAAGAGCACTGGCCTATACTATAGAGCACTTTTCTTGTTTCCCTTTAGTGGTCTTTATACAGGTTTCATTGTATTTGTAAGGTAGATGGAAATTTGACCTTTTGTTGAAGGAAACTAAAAATATCCCACTAATGGGTGCATCCGCCTGTACAGAGAAACCTTGAGACAATGATGTTGCGCACTTAAATATTAAAGCATTTATGATAGTTGAGACATTTAAATAGCACCTTTTTCACTGGATACAAAAGGTTTTGAGATGCGATCCACTAATCAGTGTTAGAGTTAAATTGCTCACACACGCTGACCGCGTCAGTTCAGTGAATGGTTTCCAAATAGATATGTCTTGACACTGAATCGTTCTACTGTTGATGATGATTTAAGTTGAGGAGGGAGCCTATTGCATTGTTTGGGAGCAGTAGAGGAGAAAGAATTTTCTTGATTATCTAGCTTGTTAAATCACTGAGCTTCCTGATCTAATTTCTATGGATGAATCTTTGCTTGTGTGGAATATTATACTCCTTCCGCATATTTAGAACTCTTTGAGAATAGACCTAAATATTGCACATTTACCTGGTATATTTCCTAACTCAAACACTTCATGCCTCCTTCTATATTGTGTTACTCACTGACTTTTTTTCCTTATCCTCCAGGAGCCAGAGTTAGAGTTTGACATTCAGACCCATTTTGAAGGTCGTACAGTCCATCAGCTTGGATCCCTCATCTTAAATCAGGTGACACAATAAAATTAATAATAATAATATTCAGCTTTTATATAGCGCCCAATACATCCATACAACGATGTGTCGAAGCTTTTTACAGGTATATTTTTACCCCAGTCATCGGATTCAGGCTTACCTTCACACAATGTATGCACATTCTCCACTCCCTGGGGAGCATTCTGGTTCTCACATGGTGAAAAGATTTATGCAAGATTCAAACATTTGAAAAATGTTAATCTGCTTTTCACAGACGAATGATAAGCTTATATTTAATAGTCTTTGAAAAAGAAATGACATGAAGAAATTGCCATTCTACATATACCTTTTGCTGGACAGTGTAGCATCAGCTATTTCGCATGGGAAATACTAATAGTTTAATCTTGTTAATGTTTTAAATGAATAGCAAATGGGGGGGGGGTGGAGGATAAGTGACATTGTGAGCTTGTTTTCAAGTATCGCACCATTCATTTTGTTGTGTTTCTGGTCAAACATGACATCAGCACAAGAATATACATCGATCAGTCACTTTAGATCTTTGTGAATGAACAAAGCTTCAATTTGAATATGGTCCTGTAAAATACAATTTGTTTCTTGCCTTCCTTGAGTTGGCTAGAAGCTGATAAAATATAATTACTCTTTCATTTTGTCTATATCTGTATCTATATATGAACAACCATTGATTCCATGTCGTCTCTCCAATTTCAGCTTCGTAAAACAATGCGCAAGAAACACACACTGCCTGCCTACAAGATTCGCAGCAAGCCGTTCTTTCCAAAGCCCACGCCACCTTCAGACAATGACTTCAGAGTCCATGATTCTAAGATCACTTTAGGACGTATGCAGGTCACTGTTATAGAATGCAGTCGTCTGCCTGTTAGTAAAGAGACAATGAACTCAGAGCTTTACATCACACTATGTCTGGGTAAGATTGCAGTAATTGATTCAAATTATGATTAAAGATAAAGACCAGTTATGGTCATGCGATTGCATTGTGAAAGAATTGTTGTGTAATCGATCAGAAAAGGTTAATCATCTAGCATATAAGTATTGGTGTGTACTGCAAGGTTCTGGAATCATCACAATGATAAGAAATTTGGCCCAGTCTTGGTAAAGTTACAAGCACTGTACACAGAAAGATGTATACCTATGGTAATATGCTACACATGCATGGCACATGCGTTTTATCTATCAGGTCCAAATAGATATAATAATGTACCAAATATATTGATTAGTAGGCAGTTTCTCATCAAAATTTGTTTGATCACATATTAGTCAAAACATATTCTTTCACATGATTGGTAATAAGAGCTTCCATTTCATTTTTTTGAGAGGGGGGCGTTTCCAAAACTGGTCTTTACCTTTAAGATAGGCTTTCTACCAAGGAAGGCTGATTTCAAGTCAATCATCTCTTTGAAAGTCACCTTGAAAAACCAGTAGACCCCCATCAGAGTCAGTTACAACCCACTAGTCCTAATGAGGTTCATCTTCAAGCCCCATAGGTGACATGACACTTTATTTCCATCCTTTAAAACCCCAAGATTGTACCTAATAGGCTAGCAATTTATCATGTCCAAATAACCACATACAGGAACATGTACTAGAGTATGTTATATTTCAAATTAAATAATAATATGTTGTTTCCATGGCAGCACAGTTAATGGTTACATTCAGTGGTGATTATAAAACTGCCTATCACCTTGTATTAAACATAAAAACCTTGCTTGTGTTTTCTTTATGTGAGTGCTAAATGAAGTACATGTGTATATGTGAGCAAAGTTTGCGGTTACACCACGTATTCCTTCAATAGTGATTAGGTGGTCCAGAGAAGGGTCCATGCTCGATGTTTCAATAGGGTGTACCCATAGTCCTTGAGACGGTATATATTTTATGTTACCCATCTTCCACTCCGTTTCTCCTCTCCCAGACGACCATGCATGGACACATGAAGACATTGAGCAACGCTTCCACGGCGATTCATTGGAGATCGAGGTCCCTAAAGGAAATATGAAGAACGTTGGAGTGACATTCAGTAGGGGTCTATACAACAAGGAGGTAGTTGTGGCTTCTATAAGCCCAGAGTCAACCGTAGCTCAGACAGACCTTAGGAAGGTACGTTTGGAATATTCTAGATTTTATGTACCAATTGAGATCTTGTTACCTTTAAGTGTTTGTTATAGAGTACCGAAGTGTGACGTCATAATGACCAAGTTGTCAAGGTTCCTGGTTCTTAACAATTCTGTGCTAAATAATGGCGTGGTGATCACACCAGCCCTAAACACTGAATTTGCCCTGCTACAGCCAGCCCGTTGCTTGACTGATTTCACAGTGAACCTCATGCGCAGGCTCTGTAGTTTAGAACTAGTAACCTTGACAATGAGCGAATATAACGTTAACACTTTGGTAGTCTGTATTAAGCTACTGAAACATTTGAATTGATTACCTTCACCTGTTACTTTGAACAAATTCATTGTAAAATTGTGACAGTTGATCTTGTTTGTAAGTTTGACGAAAATAGACCTGCTGGTTTATAGAGTCTTTGGGCATGATGGTAACCCTCTTGGCGTGGATGGCACACAGGTTGGTGTCCTCAAAGAGGCCAACCAGATAAGCCTCGCTGGCTCTGCACATGGTATGGGACACAATTTGTTGTGAGCAAATGTTAGCTTTGGATTTCACTGAAATGATTCCTGAAAATGTTAAATGGAAGCTAGAAATGGGCCAGCTTGATCTGTATTCGTGAATGAAATGTGTCTATATTTGAAGAGCTTAATTCCAAAAGGAGCTAAATTCACTTTTGTTGAAAATTGAGTTATTGATATCAAAACATTGTTCACTTAAGTACCTGTCTTTCAACAAAATTATTTACCTAAAATTTGGGAGCATTTATGAAAAAAATGCACCTTTTAATATCACTTTTCCATAGACGTCTGTGCAAAATCTGGTAAACAATTTTTTTTTTCTCTGAAGTTACAAAAATGGATTTAGCTCCTTTTGGCTTTTCCCATATCATAGAATAACCTCATTATATTTTTGAGTAGGAATGATATGGTTGTCATATCTCTCAGTCATTTCATATTATAGAGCTTTGTATCTCTTTCTATTAATGATGTATCTTCCTTCTATCTTTCTGTTTTTCAGGGAGATGTAGTACTAGATATAGATGGAGTTAAGGTGACATCTGCACGTCAAGCGGCAAAGGTTGTCAAGCAAGCAAAGGAAAAGTAAGTTATGATTGATTCTTGAAAAAGAATTCAAATGTACTTTATGTCATACATTCACAACTATCTAAACCTACTTTATAGTATCTAAACTTACTGTATATCTACATCACCATGCAAGCCGATACTTATAAGCAGCATCTACCCGCTATCTACATGTTGGTGCACTAGCCATAATTGTGTGTTTATTGTGAACCATGTATCTTCTGCATTCTCACTATAAAAAAATTATATGGACCTGTTTGCAAAATTAATGATCTGTAAAGGAAGCATGTCAAGAGAATGGAACAGGTGGACCAAACCAAAATTTGAAATTTGAAATTATGCCTTGTCAGATACCTGATATGTTATATATGTCAGGAAGAATGTTATGTTCCCGTTGTTCATTTGATCTTCAATAAGTGTGTCTACCGGCCGGAAAAATTGAGTTGTTCTTTGATCTAATCTGCCTGTCTTTTGCTGTACCATGCTTAATGTTTGAGTATTGATTACTTCTACAATCCAGATTTGTCATCAAAGTTCAGAGGCCTATGAACATGATGGAAAGCTTACCAGCCACATCAGCAGCTTACGATCAACCTGACCTAAGATCTGTTCCAGACACCACTGCAGACAATGACTATGAAGACTTCATCAATGTCAACATCATGAACGAACTGGGCATCAAAGATGAGGATGAGGTAGATGGGTCGCAGCCAGGTTCCATCGCCGCCCAACGTCTCAAGGTCCCCACCCTGGATTCCCCCGTCGTCCAACGCAAGAACAAGCAGCCCACGACAGCGGACGGCAGACGTCTGTCATCCTGTCTGGACTATGAAACGGTCAAGCAGCTGTCCACCCAGCAGGACAACGAAGACCGACTGCGGAACTTGAAGAGAGTCATCAAAGAGACGATTCACCCTACGCCAAGGGACGAGCGACCTAAAGAGGACCCTGTCTCCGCAGTACCGATGATGATGAAAACAGAAGCCATGAGGATACCTGATGTTGACCTTGATGCTATCAGTGTGTCCAGTCTGACCTCGCAGATGGAGGATGTGGATGCAGCTTCCGTCGGTCCTTCTGTGTCAAGTGCTCCTGCAGGCTCAGAAGCTGCACCTCCACCTGTAGATGACATCCAGGAAACATATCTAGTGGCTGCAGAGGCAGTGAGTTCACCAACCCATTTTTATGATGAATCATTTTTGATCCATGCAACACAGCCATAATCTTGGTTTTCAACTTACTTGGTCTGTAGATGTGTGGGTAGAGAGTAAAAAATCAAGATAGTCAAAACCAAGCATCTGAACAAAAGTACACGAAAAGGATTTATGTAAAAAGTGAAACATCATCACATTTGTATGAAATTTGACTGATTACCGACTCACCTTTTGTTGTTAATTTGATGAGCTAAGCTGTTCACTTATTTTCCTTTTGCAATGGATTAAAATGAAATAATATTTAGTAATGCATTAAAATTAGGCTCAAGTATTTCAGAAGTGTTTGTTCTTTGTGCTCTTCCATGGCTTTCCATTGCAAGTCTACGATCCAGGCCAAGATTTGTACCATTTTTTTGCTAATGTTTAATCAATGTTAATGATACCGGTAACTGTTTTTGTGCAGATTCAACATCACTGATTTGGATTGGCTCAGTCAGTAGAGCTTCCGCCTCACAATCGGGAGGTCGTGGGTTCGAACCCCGGCCGGGTCATACCAAAAGACGTTCAAAGACGGGAGTTGTTGCTACCTTGTTTGGCGTTCAACAATATAAGGGATAGAGCAACGTCGATCTGGCGCTGCTTGGTGGCTGCAGGGCTCACGATCAATTGGGCAAAAAGAATTTCCATTTTCGGTTTAACTTAATAAAATTTGGAGTGGACTTTAAAAGATTATTATTATTATTATTATTATTTCTTCCTTAGAATCCAGAATGGGACGAGACGTTCCCCTTCCAGGTCGGTGAGAACGATAACTTCCTCAATGTGTGTATCTGGAATCGTCTAGGCATGGCCGTTGGAGAACGAGACATGTTGATAGGGTACACCAGCGTGTGTCTGATGGATGTGGCCCTTCAGTGTGTCAGCACGCTGTCGGGAGAGCACCTGGAGCTGTTCAAGCTACAGCCACCAGAACAGAGAGGGGGCGCAACGTGAGTAGTTGGGGTGCGGATCATTTGCCTAGAGTCGTAGATGCCTCTTAACCCATTATCTCCTGAGATCACTGAGTCCCTGCGTAGAACCTATGCAAATAAGATTATTCAGTTGTTAACAGGTTGATATACCGGTAGGTAGAATGTCTAGGAATGTCAGACTTCCTCAGTGCAGACCCATGACAAAGAGAGTCAAAATCTCTAGACATTTGTGTTTCTTTAGTAGATGATCTACTGCAAGTTTTATCCTAATTTGCACAATTGTGACCTGAATACCCCTTTTTCTGCAAGACTTACAATTACATTATTACAATTGGTCCCTGTGTACAATTTGACCTCACAGCTTACCAAACTTTTAATGACCAGTTTATTGTTGGAAATGGTCAACTTACAAATACATCCATAGATGTGGCTCCAAGAAGTCAAAAGATAGATAAAGTAGTGTTATTGCTTCTCAGTCTATTTAAAGAATTGTGTGAGATATTAAACGTATCATTGAGCAGTTCATTCGGTGAGATATTTTCCTATTTTTAAATTCTATATTTGTAGAAGTAAATTGACCATCTTCACTCAAGAACAACAGGCTTGTCACAGTAAACCATGTGAATTTTCTATTTACAGGAGAATTGCTTCCCAGATGCACCTGTTTACCCACCCAGGGTTTGACAGCAGTCTCAGCTACGGAGATATCTCTCTCTTCTTCCATCATTCTCCGTTTGAAGATCCTCCCAAACCCACCAAAGAGGGCGGTGCAGAACGTCCAGACTACTCTCCTTACGATGCCAAGGGGAAGCCCAAAGTGAGCGTAGAGGAAAAAGGCAAACCTGTCGTGGTGAAGAAGATCACAAGACCAGAAGAGTTGAGGTAATTAAATGCATAGCTCTCCATTTTATTTATATCATTGTTTTTAAACCTTACTCTTAACTTTCACTCCCCCCCCCCCCCCCCCCCCCATTTCGCCTAACTCAAACTCTTTCCCTCCTTCCCCTTTAATTATGACAATATAAATTTCCCCTCTCCTCCTGTTCCCCTTTAACTCTCTCTCTCTTTCTCTCTCCCCCCCCCTCTCTCTCTCTTTCTCTCTGCCCCCACCCCCCTCTCTCTCCCCCCTCTCTCTCTCTCTCTCCCTCCCTCTCTCTCTTTCTCTCTCTCTCTCCCTCTGTCTCTCTCTCTCTCTGTGTCTCTGTCTCTATTTCTCTCTCCCTCTGTCTCTCTCTCTCTGTCCCTGTCTCTATTTCTCTCTCCCTCTGTCTCTCTCTCATTTTATCAAATTTCATTCTCACTAAATTTTTCCTCATCTATGCAAATCATATATACATGTATGCAGTATTTTTGTAGCATTTTGTTGTACAATGCAGGGGTCCTTTTGTTTAAATGCATATATTTTCATAGGCACTAACATTAGTACTCATTATTTCTCATGGCAAATGGCATGCCACATGTATATTATTGCTGACCACTGGCCTTGTGCATGACGGTTGATAATGTGATTGCATATCATCATAATTCAGAACATTTTAGAAAGTGTTAGATTTGAAAATCAATGTGAAAACCAGCATATCCATGGAAGCTGCATAAACAAGAACTTTTTTAGCTCAAGAAACTGTATCATCAGGAAATGTTTTGTCTGAAATAACCAATTTTAATGGCATGTAATAATCAAATGAATAAAGGCCCTTTTTACAATTAGCACGTTTAAAAAGATCAGAAGTTTAGGAGTTGAAATTCAGATTCAGAATTATGAAATAGTATAATCAAATTTGCATGGCATCTATTTCAATTTCAAATCCTATGCACAACAGTGGCCATGCTTTCATCAGTTGATGGTAATGCATGTTTATTAATACATGTACGATACATGATATGCTATGAGAAATACACTACTTTTGTATGAATTTCATCAGCATTTTAACACATGTAGGATTTTGTTACATGCATGTGCTGGGCTACATGTAGATTCATAAGGTCAAATGTTGGTTCAAACTCATGTAAATGCACAATGCTATGAATATGTACATCTTGTAAATTAACAAGTAGATCAATATAATCAATGAACATTGTCACAACATTTTTAACTGCTCGTTTGTGCATTTTCCATTAAATTTTTGTGTTTTCTTTACCTGTAGATATCTTCTTTTCTATGTTGCAATTTGATATTCTTATGGATTTCATTATTCTCCTACCCCTCCTTGCTCCTGTCACTTTCATTTTCTGTCTGTCTCTTCTCTCTGTCTTTGTCTCTGTCTCTCTCTGTCTCTCTCTGTCTCTGTCTCTCTGTCTCTGTCTCTGACTCTCTCTCTCTCTCTCTCTCTCTCTCTCTCTCTCTCTGTCTGTCTCTGCCTCTGTCTCTCTCTGTCTCTGCCTCTCTCTGACTTCCTCTCTCTTTCACTCTGTTTGTCTCTCCTCTGTATATTTCGGTCCTTCCTCATCTTTCTCCATGGACATCTCCCCTCATTCTGTCATGACATTTCAATATCTACTCCCCCCCCCCCCCTTTCTCTTTCTTGCTTCAACCCCACTGTTCCTCACTCTATAACTCTAGCCTCCATGGCCAAGTTGGGCAGCCTCACAAATTAGTAGGCACTCAGTTCTCATCCCCTACAAGATGTGATTTTTGTGGCAAAAAGGTAAGCTACTTTTGTAATGAAAACAAATCATTCTCTGCATTGTGGTGTGTGTTGCTTAGGTTTATCTACTCTCCAATATCTAGAAAGTATAAGAATATGTTTGTTTTCACTGCCGTGCACTTTTTTATTTATATATTTTTGTCTGCAGAATACTAGATTTAGTAACTACAAGACATTAAACTTGCAGCTTTTAAGAATATTTAGGGGGAGGTTAGGAAGGGAGATTAAGTGACCATTTAATGTGCTAAAACCATATAAAATAAGTTTTTATGTCAAGTCTTCATCATTAATATCTTGACCTTACATACTTGATTTAAAAATGGACAAATCTATGATACTTTCCTGCATTTTTCAGCATTAATCTGCCTGAATTTTTTGACAAGCATTTTCAGAGTCTGCAACCTTGTAATGGACTGGAATATGAGTACATGCATGTACATGTATGTATCCTTGAGCATGTTTGAAATGCAATGGTTGTGTTTCTCTTGTATGGTTAGGTATGGACAAAGTATGCCCTACAGTGTCTTATATGCAAGCTGATATGCCACAAGAAGTGTTCAGAGAAAACTCAGGCCAACATACCATGTGATAGGTAAGAGAAAGAAAACGAAAAACAGTCAAACCTGCTTTAGTGACCACCTGTCTACAAAGACCACATTTTTTTGTTTCCCTTGATATTGGTTTCTTATTGAAACTTGTACATGTACTTAAGGAACCTGTCTACAAAGACCACTTTTTGTGTTTCCCTTAGGCGGTCGCTATAGACAGGTTTGACTGTGCTGTGAAGAGATGGTACTTGTAGTGTGTGATGTTGATGATTATTTAGCCTGAGTTGAATAATACTTGAGGAAGAAGTCGTAGTCGAGTGGTTTAATCACTTGACTGGTGATACAAAAGGTCATGGGTTCGAGCCCCGGCATAGCACTTATGTCCTCGAGCAAGGCATTTTTATCAACATTGCTCCTCTCCACCTAAGCTAGGTGTAAATTGGGTGACGAATAGGATGCAAACGTCACTGTGGTTGGATTAGCATGTGCGTGCCCATGAAAAGGCAACTAGCTGGAATACAACCCAGGGAGTGGAGAATGTGCACTGTAATGTGCAGAATAGTAACTGAATCCAGTGACCAGGGTAATAGTGATATGCGCTTTGGTCAGTTAATGTTAAAGCGCTTTAGAAACTGGTGTTATTATTATAGTCCTTATTATAATAACATGTAAATGGTGAACCAGTAAGCAACCAGGGGACCTACGACTTCAAGTCCTATCCAAGTGTAACTTTGAAATTGGTAAGAGTTTGATTGATAAAGATAGAGAATGAATTGCATTTGACTGTAGCACGGCTTGTTATTTGCATCCCTTAAAAGAATACATGCCAGGTATTTATGTTGCTGCTAGATTGTAGTTCAGTACCGTGCTTTGATAAGGTGACTTAAAGCTTCTGAGACTGAGCAACATAATTAATAAGTCTGTGTAAATCAATGAGAATATGAGTTATGTGTGCTTCGTAACACTTATCTTAATCATAGGATGCTATATATTTTCATAGCTTTATCTACCAAAGGGTTACAAATTTTGTAGCTCATGTTATCCACCCCAAATCATTTTTGCTTATAATTTTTGGTCAATTTATTTTATTTTAGGTCAACTGATAGCATTAAACTGTCTATTTCTGGTATAGGTATGATAGTTGAATGTAATGTTTATCAGTCCAATACAGTATCCCAGAGACTACATGTAGACCGAAGATGAGTGTCAGATTGGGGACTAAATCAACCAAGTACACTATCTGTATCTTCTTAATTCCTTACCTTATAATTTAAAAAGTAGTTCAACCCTCACAAAGTTTAAATATTCATGTAAACAGTTCTTGTTTAAACAAATGATATGCACTGAGTAAAATTTTCTATACAATGTTCTTCCTGCGGTGTGTGTTGGTGTGTCTGTGTGCATGTGTGCATGTGAATGAATGAGGTGAGTGTATGTTTGTTTTGATAAGTTTTACAGTATTTGTTATAATAATGTGCTCGTATGATTATTTTTGTACAGGGCCCCATTCTCACAAGCTTGCTTTTCTTGGGGTCCTTCCGATTTTGCTGTTAATTTGTTATGTATTTTATTCTGAATTTTTAATGGAAAATAAATGAAATGAATGAATAATCTTTCATTCTCCCTGGCATGTTTCACAACTGCTATCACTTGACTTGTGAATTTGTTTATTTTTAAGGCAATACCAAACTAGGTTTCTGAAAGCATAAACAGTTGAGAAAGATGCGTTCTGAGAACCTGCTGTAATATTGGCTTCTCAATGTACACACTTTTACATATCCAATCCAGTCCGATCCAGGTATTTATAAAGCCTAATCAAAGGCGCTGATGAGACTGAATAACTACCAAAAATGTCTGTTCATGATTCTAACTGGGAAAGACAAAAAAGCAGTGACTAATTGTAAGCGATCTGAAATAGGTATGTCTATTATTTACTAGACCTGCTCTTGCATAGGACCCTCATGTTGTGAACATATTATAACAAACTATATCATCTTTCATATGACCAGGAACCGTTCCGCCCGCCGCGCCGACCAACCCTCCCCCACCAGGGAACTCGGCCAGACACGGCCTCTGGACTCGGCCGCCCAGACCCTCGTGGGTGTGGCCGGCCGCAGGGGCACACCCCACCCCTCACCCAACCCATCTCCAGCACCCTCACCCCATGAATCTGAAGAGGAGGAGGATGAGGAGGTGGATGTGGAGGCGATGGTGAGGAGACTGAGCAAGCTGAAGAGACGGCTGAGGCAGCTGAATGCAGCTGAAGGGAATAGAGTGGATGATACTGATGCCATGGTCATGACAGCAGTCAGAGAGGTACGGCGGAGGTTGATCTTTCGGTTTTTAGTTATCTTAAAGCGGGACTGCACTACTTGTAGCTACTTGCGCCCTCTATACAGCCAACAATGCCTAAGCGGTACCTGTTGATCCCCCATGGCCCTCTTTTTCTTATGATGGTTGAGAGCTGATTTGATGAGATAACTACCTGCAGGGAGGTCTAATCCCTCCTGGCCAAACTAGTACAGATATGCTTAAAGAAACATCTGATAATAGTGACTATATGAAAGCAGTGATGAATTCAGGTTTAATTTGAATTTGCTGGAGGCACTCCAGGAAGTTTGTCTTGCTATTCCCTTTCTCTTCAGTGTACATTATAACCATTCATTTTATCTACAAGGATATCGTCAAGAATTTGCAAATTACATCCCCACTACTCACTGATAAAAAGTTTGCTACAAATTATTCAATCAACATGTTCTTCTTCTAAATTGTTGTATCCATGAGTCATTTGATGAATAATTTGAACATGCAACATTGAAAGTATACTTGTTATTACTCTTTATACATTACAGTTAAAAGCTTAAATACATCATATTATTTATTTGTTGCACTCATATATGAGGGAATTTTTTAGTACTTCAAGTAGTCCTGTTATAATAATGTAATCATGTGTACACAAATTAATATACCCCATACTCCCAAAATGAACAACCCAAAGTGAATAGTGGTATTCCTTGCCACTTGCCTCAAAATGCTGTACAAATAAGAGACACATTTCTATTTTTTTATACTACCTCACTTTATAATCTTATGAATTTGTAGATGGGTCGTGAGCTGTTCATTGATTCTCCTGTAGACGAGAGGAAAGAGAAGCTAGAGGCCATGGTAAGTTTTTCTGAGGTTTTTCTGGTGCAGCAGTCAATTATATAACCTAGAACATGAGCTGGTTGAGTCCTGAAGCTTTTGAAGCCATCTCAAATGTTCTTTCGCAAGAAATTTGAAATGTACAATGTGATATTATTGTGTTTTTGTAAGTATGTATTGTTCTTACATACTTACACAATATCTATCTCTCCCTCCTACTCTCTTTCTGTCTGTCTCTCTGTCTCTGTCTCTTTCTCTCTCTCTCTCTGCTTCTCTGTCTCTCTCTGTTGCTGTTTTTCTTTCTATATCTCTTTCTGTCTATTTCTCTCTCTTTAGAGACGAGATTCCTCCGCCGATTTCGAGATTTCAAGTCGGAAAAGCAAAACAAATAAAACTTAAACTTTCAGATTATCACTAATTGTACATGTATCATTGACCTCACTACCTTAGCAGCATTTTTCTCTCATCTGAACAATGTTATAGCGTCCCTTTAAGCAGGATGGAGTAACAAATATTTCTCAAATTGAGAACTTAAATGCAAGGAATACATGTTCCCCAATTAATCTTCCTCCGTCGATTTCGAGATGTCAAGTCGGAAAAGCAAAACAAATAAAACTTAAACTTTCAGATTATCACTAATTGTACATGTATCATTGACCTCACTACCTTAGCAGCATTTTTCTCTCATCTGAACAATGTTATAGCGTCCCTTTAAGCAGGATGGAGTAACAAATATTTCTCAAATTGAGAATTTAAATGCAAGGAAATGGTGTCCCCCATCTAATCTTCGTCCTTTTTAGGAATTTCTCTGTTTCATCCATGTCCCTTTCTCTCTCTCTCTCTCTTTCTTTCTCTCTGTCTCTCTCTCTGTCTCACTTTATCTCCCCCCATCTTTTATTCTCCTTCCACTCTCTGTATTCCCCTCTCTCCATTCCTCTCCACATCTTCTCATCTCTATGACTCTTAACCCGCTGACTACTGAATTCTCTCATTTCCATAGGCTTAATACAGGTAGTACTCGATTCCAGTAGGTAATGGGTTAACGTGTGTCGTCTCTTGCTCTTTCTTTGACCTTGTACAGATTGAGAAGCTCCAGACCGAGATAGACGAGGAGGCTGACCGTCAGCTGAGGCTCGCCAAGGAAGTCCAGCTATCAAGACGTCGCAAGGAGAAGCTGGCACTAGAGGGCGCTCTCGCTCAGAGCGAGGAACGCATGCAGACACTGGCCAATCTCATGCTGCACTACTGCGCTGGCATCCAGCACTGCAACGAGACGCTCTAAAAGTACCATGCCTGCCACTATTCTGCAGGTATTCAGCGTTGCGAAAAGTTTAAAGAGAAGGGTGAGTTCTGGGAAGAGATGACAAATAATTTGTGAGCGTTATCATTGTTATTATGCAAGTGTGGAAGAACATCAGATAAAAAATGTTTCCTGAAAAGCATGGCTCTTCAAATGCCTTAATATTCTAAATATGGCATGTAACATCATAACGATTGGGACTGATTTTATGCCACATGTTGGTGTAGTCCCATATACATCTTTCTGTGTACAGTGCTTGTAACTTTACAAAGACTGGACCAAATGGCTTATCATTTTGATGATTCCAGAACCTTGCAGTACACAATACTTATATGCTAGATGATCAACCTTTTCAGATTGATTCCACACATTTTCCTTTCACAATGCAATCACATGACCAGAACTCAACTCTATCTTTAAATAGGGGTATGTACATGTACATCTCTTCTTTAGCCTCCAGCATTGTATTAAACCAGAGTGTAAAATGCCAGAGATACATATATGTACTATACCTGCCCTACATTATTGCTTAGATGTTAGCATTGCATTGAGACTCTTTGAAATGTGACAGGTATTTACATACCATCCACTACTGTGTAGGCATCTAAAAGCTACTTCATCAAGACTCTTTAAAGGGCTTGGGTGTGAATACACCCTCCACTACTGCTTGGGTATGTACATGCCCCCCACCACCACGACTGCGCAGGCAAAGAGTACCGCGTAGGTACAAATTTAAAGGTACTAGTAAATTGTGAAAGTGTACACAAAAGCATGTACATATATTCAGCTGCATTGATGGATCAACTAATTGCTGTGCAGTATTATTCCAGATTTCTCTTTGCTTGCATATACTTCAATGTTTAATTCATGTTTTTTCTATACTAAATCTTGTCTCACAATTTTTGTGTGTAAGTTCCTTTTGCAAATCATTACTATAGCACATTAAAAATGGGTATTATCGCATGTGTGCTTATTTTGTGTTTGTATGATTGCAGTCCAAGACGTATTTATTCATATATTGTTTATTAAAGAATTCATATGTGGAGATAGATAGGGATTACTGATAAGCACACAAATGTTTTACCGATCATGCATGTGTAGGATACCATATGTGTGAATAGTTAGAATTGATCAGACATGTTCTCTTGCAACTGACATAATTATCAGCTGTGAATCATCATCATCAATTATTGCTCTGGGCTTTATTCTGTCAAAGAGTTAAGGTTGTGTAGTATTAGTTTGGAATTTAACTTGTGTAGTACATGTATATTGATTGCATAGCAATTGTCACCATGTTATGGAACTGTCGATAGGTTGTGTTAATCAAATGTACCCAAATTCCATTTATGATTGACATACACTCAGCATATTATTGAAAAATGTTTTATTAAAAGGTAGTTTTAGTCATTTGCAATCTATCAACAATCTACAAAAAAATCTTGCTGTACATATTCTATGCAAGGATCTTATGTCATATTTTTTTTTATTGTTTGATCGGATTATGGCTAACTCAGACAAAAGACAACTCGGCCCAGCTGAAAAAACGGTCAGATTTTGCAGGTTTAGGGTTAGGGTTAAAATTGTGGTTAGGGTTAGGGGGGAATGACAAAAACTGACCGTCTTTGCAGCTGGGCCGAGTTATCTGGGGTCCGAGTTAGCCCGGATTCCTCTGATCAAGCACCCTTTTGAAGGACTTCGAAAATATCCACCTTGATTGCTTTTCCAAAAAGCAGCAAAAAATATGAGATAAAAGTCCTCGCTATCTGCACATAATCCTTGATTAAAATGTTTCTGTAGAGAGTAGTTTGTACAAAGAGTCAGTTGGACAGCACTCTTCTTTATGCAGTAATTTCATTATTCTTTAATAGGGCATTTTTGTTTGGTTTATACTTTCTACCTCTTTTTAGTCCTACTGATGTGAATATTATGCCATCCACATGGCAATAGAGATTTTTATCAGCACAAAACAGTGAAAACTATGGACTGACTTTATAAATTAGTATGTAGCACTTTTATGTATGTAGCTTTCTTCTTGGATTTGTACATTTTCTGCGATTTTGTCTCTTTACTGTCTTGTTTTTTTTAGGCTCAAAATTATCTGAAGCAAATCTGAAGCTAGTCCCTCGTGTTTAGAGAATATAGATCTAGTTCTGGATCATCACATTTTTTGTCTCTGAATGTTTGTTTTTGGCAAGAAATCAGTGTTGAAATGTAATTCATATTTTTCAAACAGTCTTTTCTGACTCTTGATGGCTAGATGACATGTCAAATCATTGACCCTACCTAGGAATAATGCATGGATGTATCCCAGGTGGATTCCATCTGTGCGTAGGCCATAATACATGCATGTTTCATAGCAGTTGAATTAGTTTGTTTCCAAATGTTAAATGACAGGAACATCTACAAGTTTAAATACATTAGTATACTGCATACATGTAGCTGTTGAAATAGTTTGTTTCAAGTTCTACATGTATGAGTTTAAATACAGTAGTAAACTGGTTTATCCATTCCAAATTAAGACATATACATATACATGCAATTCTAGGAAAGGAAAGAATTCAAGAAATGTTATGGTACCAGGTAGTTTTATTCCTTAGTATCCTAGCAGCCAGTTAATCATATTGAGAGTATGGACATGTTGACGTGATGTGGAAGCTATTTTATTTGAAGGGATCATACATTCTGCGACTAATTTCCTTTTTCCAGGTCCTAAGCAGTGTTATTGTTGAACAGTACTTTTGTTTCGTACAACGATTGAAGTGATCATTTTTTGTTTACATCAGTTAATGGAGATTACAAATTGTTAAATTTGATTATAATAATAATAATAATAATAATATGGATATTTATATAGCGCCGGTATCTGCCAGGCTCTGACGCTCATGGCGCTGTACATACATGTATTACTATCACAAAAATTAAAAAAATGCTTCAACATCATTATACAAACTGGATATAAATCTATTTACATACCATAGGTTTTGAGCCAGAAGGGCATTAAATTTGTGTTAATTTATACAGAATGTACGTGCTTCTGGCTCCAAACAGACTTAATACCCTATTCTGGATATCTTTAGGCATGTTAGCGCTCTGAGCCTTATGGGAATGGCGCCCTAAATGTTCATTGTATTGTATTGTATTGTATCATGCTTTATTGATCAGACAAACATATTTTTTCAACTTGATTGTTTTGTTAAGATTGCAGCTGTTTTTGTTATTATGTTTTAATTTGAAGCTCTACTTCAATGTAGTTATGAGTTCTAGTAATGGGTCAACATTTTGGAAGAATAATATATTCATTGGTAAGCGATAATATTCCATCATATGCATGTTTAGCTCATATCAAATTACCTGTATGTAATGTCTGTGCAGTTACAGAGTAGTTTAGATATTATTTCCCTGGCTTATGCTCAGGCAATCATTGTCAGCTCACAATGCTTTTTCAAGGGCATAGCATATTGGGTTTAGTTGTTGAAGGGGTATTGGTATCGATATAATGAGGTGATTGAAAAGAGAGAGAGGGAGAGAGAGAGAGAGAGAGAACACCACCTGGGTGAAGAGCGACATAAGTTGCTGAATGTCCTAGTAGAGGTGTCGTGGTCAAATGGATCACAAGGTCCGCGGTTTGAGTCCCGGCACTATTGGCAAGACATTAATCTACATTTGCCACACTCGACCCAGGTGAGGTGAATGGGTACCTGGCAGGAATTAACTCCTTGAAATGTTAGAGCGCCGTAATGGCAGCCATGCTAAAGCTGGGTAATAATTTTGAAAACAGAATATTATTATTATTATGAATATCTTGCCCAAGGACAAAAGGAGCCAAAGGAATTATTCTTGCCAAAAAAGAGAGACTGAGAAAGAGAATACAGATGAAAGTTATGTGCAGTAAATGTGTTTGAACCAGCGGAGTTATCCATACTGGCAGAAAATCGTATACTCTCAAAAAGGACCAACACTCGTTTATGGACTGTGTATTCTGCTTGTTGATTTGTGACTACTAGAGTGATTATTTTTGAGCTGCTTATTCCTCAGCTTTTCTGCATTTTGTATCATATTTGCTAGGCAGATACATGTGTCATTTTGGTGTAAAATTTATTATTAACTGAAGACAAAATAACTGTAAAACCAGAAATTCTCGCAACTTGAAACTTCAGCAAATTGTTAATGACAGCCATTTTAGGAGGAAGAAACGTTTTCGAATTGCAAACTTGTTTCAATTGTAGTTCTTCTATTATGTGGCATGAAACTGTTGTAAACCTGAATTACACACAAAGTATGCAAACATTTCATGCATGTGAATATTCCTGGTTTCACAAACTTGTATAGATGTAGATAACAGTATAAGTTTGATTCTGAAATGTGAAATGGTGAATCTAGCTATAGTACCTATACATGCATTGCTTAGAAATCTTTCATCTTTCATGATTCATCTTTCTTAGCTGGTCTAAGAAAAAATCATTCTGTTTTGATCTATATCAAATTCTATGATTAATGTTATGCTTTGAATAAAAAGCAATACTGCAATTTCTTCTGAATTACAACTCAAATACATGTAGATTTAGTTCATAGAAATTAGAATTGGAGAATAAAGCCTCGTTCTGAGATGATGTGGCAAAATTACAACATTTATTTAAAAAAATGATGGTGTAAAGTTTAATATACGTCACATTTCTGTATCCTATTACACTGCTAAGTAACTTTGTTGCGCGCAGTTGCCATCCAGTTACATGTTAAAAACAGCAGCGGCTTTTATGCGGCAGTTTATCATGTCATATCTGAACGAGTCTTAAAATGCAATTTGTCAGTTGATAAGAGCACATGTGTCAAATATTGAACTGTGCCACTAGAAATTTGGAAACAAAATTATATGGAGATAATTAGTAATATTAGATGGTGACATTTGTTTCTCAAACAAGATAGCAACTACTTTTCTAAAAATCAACCTTAGGCAATTTCACTAGCCTTGTGCGTCACCTATTGACATTTGCAAACATGACAATGATGTATTACATAATCTGAACATGATTTTTATGGGATATAATATTATATACAATAGGGTATTGAAATTGCCCTTTAGTTGATTTTTCAAGAAATAGTTGTTATCGTGTCCTCA